GAACCTGCCCAGCGGCTGACTACAGGAAGCCCGAGGCAGAGTTGCTCTGCCCCGGGCTTCCTGGAATCAGCTGCTGATCAATTTCAGCAGCAGCTGACTTGGGGACGCCTGGGGTTCTTAAGCTGAATCTGTATGTAAGTCAGAACTGGTGTCCAGATTCAGCCGCTGTTTAAACTGATCAGTTTCAGCAGCGGCTGAATCTGGATGCCAGTTCCGACTTACATACAGATTCAACTTAAGAACAAACCTACAGTCCCTATCTTGTATGTAACCCGGGGACTGCCTGTACTTGTGCAACTGCACTGACCCATGACTGTAGGCATTTTTTTTGGTTGTTTTTGTTTTGCATTATTTTAACTTAGTCCTCATCAAAAAAGTTTTTTGAAATGGAGAATTCATGTGTGTTTATACCAGTAATAAATCTGCATTTTATATATCTTCTTACAATATTTTAGTGGGACTTTTAAAAAAGGCAGTAATACATAAAGTTTTAAAACGTGTACTGAATTTGTAGGAATGGTACACTCTGAATATTAATAATTCACCACAATACTGCCCCAAAATAACACTGCATTCTCTATTAGCCACAGATGCCCAAAGCTGTTGCCTAGCACTAGCTCCATGTTTTCCATTACCCTAATTTTCCCAGTTCCATTATCCAGAACCACCTGTTCATTATCTATGAACAAGGGTGTTAGTATTTTTAAGGCATCTACAAAATGCGCTACCCAACACCATTTCTTGCAATAACAATCACCACCTACTTTATAGCTGCTATTTTCTCTTATTTGGGATTTTATATTGGATCATGTCATCACCAAAATCCAGACATTCAGTTCAAATAGTTTGAAAAAGGTGGTGATGTCAGCAATTTATAAGTGCAAATTTGTGGAATAAAAAATAAAAATAAAAAACACCATAGTAACTGACATACATTTAGAGGTGAGACAGAAATGATCATTCAATTGGGTGAATGTTTTACCTATATTTACTGATAGCAATCAGAATATTCTTTTTACTATCTGCAATGAATGGCATTACCCAAAAGCAGTAACTGGCTTTAGATCACTAATTGCAGTCTCTTTGTTAGCCAAGGGTTGATTAGGGCTTTCAAAGCTTATGTGTACTTAATAATGGTTTGCTTCTTTGTATGCTAAGTAAATACCCTTTCACTAATGTCTTTAAAAGTATTACTATCCTTCCGTTTACATCAGTAAGGCCCCAATTGCAGAAACTCTTTTATAATGTGCTTAACATTTTGGTATGAGTAGCCCCACTGGTCAATATAACTCCCTCTAAATGATGTCACATCAGTAATTTTTCGCTGACATTTGCATACAGAACAATTAAAATGAGTACAACCGAAGTTACATGTTGTTGAACTACAGTTAATTTATCAAGAATTGCACAAATCCCAAGTAACAGCTGGTCAATAGTAGGTGATAGATGGCCTCCTCTATGTAAATAAGTGTCTGTAATTCACTTGAGGGGTTCTGCTGATGTCATAAGCTGCCAGAGTGTCGCTTGAGTGATTTATTAACAGCTGCAGAAATCCTACAGTGAATCACATCCTTGTATTCACTTAGGGTCTGCAGACTGTTATTTATAAAATACTGAGGTTTGTTTTTCTTCATTCTTACAGGGTTCTCTAATATGGATTTCATCATTGTGGACAGTGCTGAAGGGAGTTATGAAGACTGAGGTTCTCTGTCCACAGGCATCACCCCTGCAAACTTTCCCTGACAATGCACACCGATACTGACCATTTCACTATTTTGAAAACACATGAGTGATTTTGTCCAGAGATTGATCCACAGCTAGGTCAGTTTTTCTCACAATTGAATACACTGTCATGGTCTTTCTGGGTCTATATCCTTCTAAACTGTGGCACTTGATGGAGCAGAGTTGTAGATATTATCTCTATTCCTAGGAAATCATTTTGTCTAAGTCATGTTCAGGGTGTAATGATAGCACAGTAACTGATGCTATATACATGCATGTACTAGTACTGGAGTGACACAGGTCCAAAAGAATAGTGAAAGGTCCTGTATACTGAAAGTCCTGTATAGTGAAAGATCTTTTATATTGATTTATTTATCAACAGAATGTAAAATCCCCCCATCCCTCCCATCTATATTGTTACCTAGATATTCCTCCCAGGAAAAATCTCCTTTCTTCCCCCATACATTTACTGAAATCAGCACTCATAAGCAGGGCTTGATGAATGGCGGCGAAAGCCACTTGCCAGCCCTGCACTGCGCATGCACAAGACCCGTATTGTGCATGAGCATGCGCATGCGCAAGACCCGTATTGTGCATGAGCGCACTGCAAACAAACCACGGGCAAATAGATTCAATGCTTTGTTGAGCCCTGCTCATAAGACGCATGGATATTATATGATAAAATGATTTAACTTTTGGTGTTCATTTGTAGGAAAGTCCTAAGATTTTCACCGTGCCTGAATTACACTCAGAATTGACACTGCCTCTTGAAATTTGAAAGAAAAATTACATTAGACTTTATATTTTTTTTAATTTGAGGGAGATATCTAAAATCCTACCCAAGGGATCTATTTTCCAATAAATAATGCAAGTTGGACAGGGTAGACTATGGAAGTCAGTGAAC